AATGGGCCCCTGGAGAAGCAGAAAGGGACAAGATCTCCTGAGAAAATTGGGAGCAAAGGAGGTGCCGGGAGGGAGCAAGGAGAATGAGAAGGGGAAAAGAGGAGGGGTGAGGAGGACATGAGGGAGCATAAAGGTTGAGTCAGGGGAAGAATAGAAGAGAACAAGAAAGGAGATACCATAATAGAGGGAGACATTTTAGGTTTACAGAGAAATCAGGCACTAGGGAAATGTCTGGAGATCTACAAAATATGACACCAGCTATCAATCTCAGTGACGGAGAAGAGGCTACCTTAAATACCCTCCCCTGATTATGAGGTTGATGACTGATTTATATGCCATCCTATATCCTTCATCCAGCAGCTGGTGGAAGTAGAAGCCGACACCCACAACTAATCACCCATCTGAACTGAAACCCAGATTCAGAGAAGGACGAGTGAAGAGCACAGGGGTCCAGACCAGGCTGGTGAAACCCACAGAAACAGCTGAAGTGAACATCAGGGAACACTTGGTCCCCAGACTCTTATCTGGGAAACCAGCAAGAGACTGATCTGGACCCCAGGAACATGGGTTTCAGTAAGGAGACCTTGGAAATCTATGGGACCTGCTGTAGTAGATCAGTACTTATCGCTAGCAGAGTCTGTGGACTTTGGGAGCCCATTCCATATAGAGGAATACTCCATGAGCCAAGGCACAGGGGGTGGGCCTAGGCCCTATCCCAAAGGATACAATAGAGACTGATGACACCCTATGGAAGGCCTCACCATCCAGGGGGAGCAGAAAGGATATGTGACAGATAGGGTTTGGGAGGGGGTAGGGGAGGACAGGTGGGAGAAGGCAACTGGGATTGTCAAGTAAAACAATCCTGTTTCTAATTCAAATAAAAAAAAGTTGGAAAAAAAGTCAGTGTCTTGAACACAAATATGTTTCCCTGACTTTGACCTAGCCATGGAGAAAAAGCAATGGCTTTTCCCAGATGTGGGAATCTGGTTCTCTGTCCACCTTTCAACTATTTGTCAAGCTGGATTCTGGGTTCTGGGGGCAGAGCTTTAGGCAAGACAGACATGAGCCCTGCTGTCCTGTGGCTTGTGATCTAGATGGAGAACAAAGGACAGAATACTCAGGCATATGCATAAACTTCCCAAAGAGTGACCCAAACTCTAGAGAAAGGAGCAGGTACTGCAACCCCTCCATTTCATGACAAAGAAACTAGATCACAGAGCAGCTTAATAACCTACCCACTGTCACACAACTAGTAAGAGAAGGGAGACTCTAGAATGTTGAGCAGGAAACAGTCCTGGGAAGAGATAGCCCTGGGAAGACAACCCACTGTGGACAGCAAGGACAAGGGCCAGGCTGTATACAGTCCTCAGACCATGCTGCTGCCTCTCCTTTCTGTGCCTGTTTACACACCATGAAAGTCCCTGCACAGGCTTCCCCTGAGAAGTTTTGCCTCTGCCTGGAGTCTCTGAGAGCTTTTCCCAGAATGCCACTGCCTGACAGAGGGACAAGCCTGTGATGTTGGCTCAGTGGCTCAGTCATCCTATTCTCTAACTCCTCTCCAGGTATGTACAAGGCTATTTCCTTCTCCTTCATAATGAGGCCCTCCTCCTGGCCCTGGGCCCATGGACTCTTACAGGGTAATTATGAAAACAATAGCCAACATTTACTGAGTACCACATACCACACCCCATCCTAAGCACTTGCATTATTTTGCCTAGTTCTAATGACAATCCTAAAATTTGTTTCAGAAAAGTTTAAAAAAACAAAATTATATGTTCTGGTTAGCTTTAAGTGCCAATTTGACAAGGCCTAGTGTCATCTGAGAACACCACCTAGACTGAGGAATTGCCTAGATCAGATTGACCTGTGGTTATGTCCATGGAGGATTATCTTGATTAATAATGATGTTGAGGTTGCCACCATCCCTACACAGGTGGTCCTGGGCTATGTAAGAAGGCTAGATGAGCATAAGCATGTAAGCAAGTGAGCCAGGGACTGAGCAGGCAAGCAACCTTTTTCCATGACTTCTACTTCAAGCTCCTACTTGAGTTCCTGCCCTGTGGGAATCTTTCCTCAGGGGAAAGTGACCTGGAAATGTAAAACGAAATAAACCCTTTCCTCCCTAAATTACTTTTGATCAGTGTTTTACCACAGCAACAGAATGAAATTAGAGCACTCCCCAAAGTCACTTGCTAAGTGGGTAGAGGGATTGAACATTAAAACCAGTCAATATGACTTCAGGGAGATGGATGGATGGATGGATAGATGGATGGATGGATGGATGGATGGATGGATGGATGGATGGATGGATGGATGGAAACAAAGTTAGGGCTTTAGGAATATTATTGTTGGATACCTGGCATTGTAGCTGAATAAGCCAGTCTCCTGTGGCCGTGGTTAAATCTAGTTTCAGAGGACCCCATACCTTCCTCCAAGGTGGCAGAACCTTGAGAGCTGCCTGCCCCTCTGTGCCCTGAACCTTGGTGTTCTCAAGCCCACAACTCACCATCTGCAGGCTCCTCCAGGTTATCATGCCAAGACATGGGCTTCCTGGCAATTGTGTGAACTAGAGAAAAACAAACAGCACAATTCACATTAGCAGGTCTAAGATTGTCCTGAGACTCAGCTTAGACAAGATCCCCGTTTAGCACTCACTAAGGAGTCTGGCATCTGCCAGGGAACTGTGCAGGATACTAAGAAGCAAGACCTCACAGCAAGCATGTCACTCCAGTACCATAGCCAGGAGTGCATACTTGACCTGGGAATACCAGAATAAAGCACACCTAATAGTTCCTGGCCACAGGGACACTCTCAGGTATCCCACGTGACTTCAGGTTTTCAGCATGGAAAAACCTTCTCTGCCTAATGCTGGTTGGCAGAGAAGCAAACATGCCTGAATGCTAATTCCTGAGAATAAGACAGGGATGGACATGCAAGAGGCTGAATCGACATCATCCAGTTCCTGGTGTTGACAGGAGCACTACAGACAGTGCTGTGAGCAAGACAGCGAAGTCCTCCTTAATTCCTGAGCCTTCCCTCTGTGTGGTGACTGACAGCACACTAACATGGCATAACCTGTGAGAGAGAACCTGAGAGCAGGCTATGTGCATAGAGGTGATGGCATAGGTGTGTGGTGAGTGTCCCGGGGAGGCGCATGTGAGTACTGAATGAAGGGGGCAGAGTACACTGTGTGAGAACATGTAGAAAGATGAGTGACAGCCTGGTGAAGTCAGATACCCCCCAAAGGAGATGCTTAAGAGGAGGTAGCTGGTGAATAACAATAAAAATGAGTGAGGTGATGGGAACCAGTGCCCTCCAAGAAATTCTTTGTCTCAGACCCTATTAGCTACTTTCATCCCAGCCACACCCAAACATCTAAGATAGACATTTATGTCACCCTCTGCGTTACCAGTATATTAGCAAAGTCTTTATGGATGAAAGCAAGTACCAACACCCTATAGTATAGTCTCCCTTCATTCCAGTGAACCCTATTATGTACACAGCAGGGCTGGGCCAGGAGACAGCACTGTCTGAAAAAGCCTGCATGTGGCCTTCAGAGATCATTTTAATTCTTAAAGTGGACAATGTTTAAACAGAACTGGAAAGTAAATTTTCTTACTTTAGTGATCAGGGCTCCTGATAAAACTAGGAAGTCTCCGCCCTTTCTGCAGACAGCTGGGCTGCCGTGTACTATAGCTAGGGAGGCACAGATGTTGGAGACAAGGAACATGTAGGTTGGGGGATGGCCTGACATATTTAGGAAATCTGTTTCTATGAGAATGAAGGGAGGAAGACGTGTGTGTGTGTGTGTGTGTGTGTGTGTGTGTGTGTGTGTGT